GAAAATTGGTGGTTTCAAGGCACGACCACCGCGTGTCAAAGGGTTAAGAATATTATTTTTTCCTTTACTTTTAATCCAGTTTCATTAAAAATGCATTTAATTTATTATATATCTAATTAAAAACATTAAATATTTTTATAGAACTACATTATATGTTTTTTTTAAATATAAAGATGTGTAATGTTCTCATGTTGGTCCAGATGTACATTCATCTGGTATTCTGTAAAATGTTTCACTGTTCCAAATAGGCCTCCTCTATTGATAAACAATATTAAACTTTAACCCTTTTGGGTGACTGTTAAAATCTGAAACCTTTCAGATATTTTCATTTATTCTAAGATTAATTTCTTTTTAATGAGAATTCACCAAAATACTAAATTTGACTTATCAACATCAGTCAGGTTTCAAAAAAGAGGAAGAAAAGTGGAAGATGCACTGTTTTAAATTTTTACCAAAAAGGATGTAGATATATCAACATCAATAAATGAAAGTGAAGATAGAAACAAAAATTAAGATGAAGAAAGGAATTGTTTGGATTATATAAGTCAAATAAAAAAAAAAAGAGGGGTGGTGAATCTCACAAAAATGCCATTATGGTAACTTGGCGATTTTTTGGTGACCAACCCTGCTACAGCAACCTGCTAGTTTTTTTTTAACGCCATTTTGTTTTCACAAAGTTACGCCTTTTTATTCTTTCTTTTTTTTTTCTTTTTTTTTAACTCACATTTTTCCAACATCTACAAATGATGCTTATACTAGAACTTTATGAAACAAAGTGCTTATCAGACGAAGATTAGTGCAAATGGGAAAAGTGCAGAATCGCCCACGGCTTGCCACGTTGTTAAGATTGCACATACACGGCATTCATGTACATTCGGCCCATTTTCGCTTAAAAAACCCAGAATTGCACAAAATACATGCGCCACATCTTGACCTTATCAAGTATACATCGACCAGTTTACTTAAAACGGTCAAAGAAATGACAAAACTCAATCTCTTACTGTGTAAAAAGCGCAAAACAAACAGTGGGCGATTCGCACTTAGCAGCGAAATTGTTTAAGTCTATAGCTACAATCAACTGATCGGAATTTTCTGAAATGTCACGTACCGTCTCAGATCTCTATTTTCTGAACAAAATATCGGATTCACGAACGGTGTACTTCTCGATTATGCAAAGTCCTAGCTAGTAACCTTACGCATTACCAAATGTTGCCAAACTACCTGTTACCATATTTCAAAGATTACGCCAAAAAAGTTTATTTACTAAAAAATAAATAAAAAAAAGTTACTCCAGTATTATTGAAGCCGATGTAATTTATTTTAATAATGAGGAAACAAAATCTGCACCCAAATGATGTATCTCAAAACACAAAAAATAAGATTGCATCTTCTTTTCCTGAAGCCAAACTATTGTTAAAAATGTAATTTACTATGCCAAGCAAATAATATAATAGGATACTGCCTTTTAACACTCATTAAAAATTACTTATCACTAGCCCAATTGTGAACAAGAAAGGGTAAGGTTTTTAACAGTGCTAGGCTACAGAAATATGTACTCTCAAAACTGCCAGGTTTCAAAGCTATTTCTGATCACTAAACTGAAATGAAAATGCAAAAACAAAATATACAAAATGTTTTACAGGCTCCTTACATATTACCATTTACAGTAATAGAAAATTAAGTAATATTATTGAAGATTTCATCAGAAGCAAATAATATAAACTGGACCTGTCCCACAATGGGCTTAATCTGTGCTGAAAAAAACTTAAATCACTTGTGCTATTTCTCATGAATAGCCACATGCGAGTTCAAGTGATGCTTTTGTGCAAATAATTTTGCTCTCCTTCATCACACTTATATGGGTTCTCATCAGCATGGGCACGCATATGATTATTTAAGGAAGCTTTATATCGAAAGGACTTCATACAAATATCACAACCATATGGTTTTTCATCATTATGAGTAATCATGTGCCTATTTAAATACTTTTTCTGAGCAAATAATTTGCCACATATACTACATGTAAGTAATTTCTCACCACTGTGAATTAGCACATGTCTGTTTAAATACTTTTTCTTTGCAAATGACTTGGAACACACATCACAGATATAGGGTTTCTCAACTGTGTGCGTATACAGATGTTCTTTCAACACATCTTTCCGTTTAAATGACTTAAAACATACATTACATTCATGCTGTTTCTCACCTGTATGGGTACACAAATGTTTTCTTAAATCCCCTCTACGAGCAAATAACCTACAGCATATTTCACACTCGTGAGGTTTCTCTCCTGTGTGAGTCAGCATATGCTTTTTCAGGTTATCTTGTCGTGTAAAAGATTTGTGACATGTACCACACTCATGTGCCTTTTCACCTGTGTGAGTATTAATGTGATTTTCTAATCCCTGTTTGCGTGCAAATGACTTGTTACACATATCACATTGGTACGGCTTTTCACCAGTATGTACCCGCCTGTGTAAAATCAGATTATTTTTCTGTGTAAATGCTTTGCAACATAAACAACATTTATATGGCTTAGTCAATTCTTTCTTTAACACATATTTGCAACCCTTTTTGCAACATGTATCACATTTATGCGATTTCTCTATACTGGGATTTTGAATATCAATGTTAGAAGAACCTATCAGCTCATGTGATGTGCTAAATATATCCCAATCATGCTGTTTGTCCTCCATGCTGCTATGCCTCTCTAATTAATGTTGCGGCAGAAACTATTTTGCTCCGTGGCTATACAGTTTTTTTCATGTCTGAGTCTACATGCATTTCACGTTTATTACTTAGTATTTGCCTCAATAAAGGTAAGTTTTTCCAATTAAACGTATTTTAATATAACATGATTCACGACATTCACAATTTGCAAGCGTATATATAATCCATTGGGTAAAAACAGATTGTTATTTACAGCATACATAGAATACACTCACATAAACGCAGATCTAATTTAACTCTATTTATCTAGGCTCATCCATTTTAAAGTTGGTTAGTTATTTGAACATGGCAAAGCATGTAAGAGCTTTCTGCCTTGCATACATTATAAACAGTTTTCGCGTTTTTAAAACTTCATCTTACCGCTACACTCACCACGATTTACAAACCATCAGCTTTGGTGTAACTTTCCTTAGATGAAGTCTTTCTGCCCGCAGGTGGAAAATCAGATCCGAATAGGTAAGTTTTTGTTTTGTTAAAAAAGTAATTCCCGCTTTTATTTATTTATTTATTTATTTATTTATTGTAATTGCTGTCCGTCAGCTAATTTTGTATTGGCCGGTGTGCAATGTAAGTCTGAGAACAATGTTGTAAAGTATCGTTTATGTAATATGTTTTCTTGCTTTGTAGCAAAGTGCCATAAAATTCATGGAAATGCGAAAGATTTTTATTGTTATTAAAGATTATTATTTGTATTACAGTCAAAAGTTGTTAATTCGGACACCCATAATCCGGAATGATCTATAATCCGGACCTCCAAGCTACGAACTTTCTGCGCATGCGTCGCGTTGACACATGCGCATAGGCGTTTACGCGTGCGCGTAAGACTTTTACGGCTGCGAATATGCGTGTGCGCATACGAATAATACGTTTACGCATGCGCGTTTAATGTATCAGTATCAGTAGCGGGCGCAGCCCGACCCGCCTAACCAAACAAGTTGGTCTTATGGTCATGACAGGCCACGCATATTTCAACAAATGAAAATGAGCATAAAAATCTAAATGGAATATCATGTGTAAATAATATTATAACAAAGTGAGAAAACGGAACAAATACAAACATTAGACAAGCGCAGACATAAAGACAAAAAAAAAACAATAACAAACACAAACAATGGTTTAACAACAAATATTAAATATACCAAAATAGTGAGGCATAAAATGCAAATATCATACATGATTCCCACTGCCCGGCGCTCACGTCATAATCATCAAGATTTACATATTTGCGAAATCTTTATATATAAAGGGATTTTCAAATCAATATTTTTTTGTTCTTAAGCCATCAAAGTAGGACAGACTCGGATGTTCGCATCACAAACAGTCCATAGCTTTATCGGTTCTGATCTTAACCCAGCGAAGTATCCGTTATTATAAGGACGTATAAGCTAAGCTAAAATTATCTATTTCAGTTAATGTTGCAGATTGCATTATTCCTTAATCTTCGAATTGGATTCAGCTTATTATTTTTTGTAGACTATTAGAGCAATTTTATAAAAGTAAGCTTGAACTTTCGATTATGTCAAATAGAACTTCCGATGCTGGATACTAATATGCCAAAGGATCTACAAAGTGAAAGCATGTTTCGATGTCCATCAAACAAAAAGTGGAATTGCTGCAAAAAATGGATAAATGCATATCCTTTGTTTCTCTAACCATTCCAAAATCTGCTTATCAATTTCACACTGCTCTGCGGGGGGGGGGAGGAACGTCGCGGTGCGCAATGAAACTGGAAGTTGATCTGTCAGCACTATTCTTATCTTCGGGGCAGATGTTTTTATTTTATTCGGCTTATAGTTCATTACTAAATGTAGTATTTCATCTCGATGTACTCTGTCTTTGATATGATTTAAAAAATTCTCTCTTATAATTCCTTATATCACGAACACACATCAAATAGTTTCTCAATTGGTTGCAATTTTCTAATATTCGATAATGCGAAAGTATTATACATGCATTACGCGCGTGCATTGAAAGAAATGTTTAATAAAGTAAACAAATAAATATTAACCTTTTTTTTTTTTTGGTAAATTTTGATACCATTTAGATCATAATTGTTCTTTATATTTCTTAAATTACGGTTTCAAATTTTTAATTTTAGAATTTCTGCACGTCATCTTACCAGATTTAAACTGATGATCTATAATCCGGAAAAATCGATAATCCGGAATCGCCGAAGTCTCAACGAGTCCGGATTAACTACTTTTGACTGTATTAAATTATTATTAAAGGTTATCGCCGGTGTAGGTTGCTGAGTCAGTCTGTTAGTTTAAGTAAATTGTGGGGTTTAGCACTGCTCTTTGTCACTTGAAATTATTCTTAAATTAGTCGTAAGTTCACACCATAAGTAGCCGGTGATTAAAAGGGCATGTACAACTTTCACTGGGTTGTATTTCTTCCCGCCTGTGCGAAAAGTCGCTTGGCTTACTACTAAGATCGGTACAATTGCTTGATAGCGAAAAGACATCAATCTTACAGGTCCAGTTTCTTAGAAAATTACTAGAATCTAGGATTGGAAATTTAATAATTTGCTATTATATTGCATCGGCTAAATAATTTACATGTCAAATTTAAAATTCTAACATAGGACATAAAAGTCATATTTTCCTAAATAGATATTGGTCAGCAAACGTTTCAGCGGTAATATCGCTTAACACTGGTAGTTCGAGCTGGGCTCTAAAATCTGGGCTGACATGCTTTCGTGTTTTCCTTATGTGAAACGTCAATACGAGCTAGTTTCCTTTGGGACATTCTCCACGAAAGCATCGTTTCACTAGGCAAACAAGACTTTCTTTGATCAAATAAACTGAACTTAAGATACTTATGTGTTTTGACATAACCAGCAATGAGATAATTTTAATTCTTTCGAATATTTTTCATTGGCATATTTTACTCATTCGAATATTCAGGAGCATAGTTATAACGCTATTTTGACTGATCACAGAATATATGAAAACAGATGATAGAAATGGATCTTTACATAGAGCTTCTACAATTGTTACTTTGTGGCTGAATTGATTGCTTATATACATAGGCAGATAGCACCCATTTAAGAACATCAAATTTATATACAGAAATATTACTTTAGAATTAATATTACACGAATAATTTTCAGAAAGATAATTTTGGGACGAAATTTTTGTGCGATATTCATTCTGAAACAATATTTTCCTCCTTAAATTGTCTTTCTGAAAACCATACCTGATTTTTATAGGTAATATATTACAAAAGAATTTAAAGAGAAAATGTACTTAATGTGTTTCTCCTCAAGATATGTTACTTTGATTATTTTCAACTACTTTGTAGAATACTTACAAACAAATTAAGCTCACATATTTGAGATCATTTGATATACAAACCACATATTTATTTATTAATTTGGAAATATCTTAAAAAGTCTGCTGCGGACACCAGATGACTTCCTTGTATGCCTAATAAATAAAACACATTGTTTGCTGCACTTTATTTAAACTGGTTTTATTTGAAAATGAGATATGATATTCCCTTTGGGCACTGTAGAATACAAGAAAAAAGGGAAGTGCATAACTAGATGTTATAGCGAAATAATAAAATATACGCATTTTTTGCTGCATTTCGTTTAAACTTAATTCCTTCAATTTCATTAGAGATATATTTCTCATTCAATTAATTTAGTTCTTACTTCGCGGCAAAGCAAAAATACATAAAACCTCAAAGTATCTTTATTAAAAATTGAAAAATATAGAAAAACATAAAAAGGAAAAAATCTGAAAGTTTTCAGATTTTATATTACGCCCAAAGGGGTTTTTATTTTAATGTTTTGTGTGTTACCTTTATTTATTAAATATAATGTTCTTCACACTTAAACCATAAAATTAAATTCAACAGCAATATCACACACACATATATACATATATCACACTAAAGAGTAAACGTGAGTCTCGCCGGAAGACCGTGCCGTCAAAGTTTTTCTTATTTTTATTCACAACTCATATATAAACATATTGTACAGAAATGGAATTCAAGTATAATTAATCAGAGAAAAAGAATAATCCGAGTAAAAGACTAACCGAGTAAGCCAAAAATATCCGCTACATTCCGAATTCTAAACATTTGTTTACATAAATATTTATCGCAAGTCCTGCCGGAAAAAAGTACCAAATGATCGCCAGAGATCACATGATCGTTTTATTTTCAACAGTTTCATCCCTCAAGACTTATAAGAAATTACGATGGACGGACAAATCGTGTCACGTGACCACCAAGTAAAATATCTAGGTGTTTATCTCGACCAGAAGTTAACTTTCAAATTTCATGTTAATTATATCAGAGACAAAGCACAACGTGCGCCTTAATGAGCATATACCCTTTGATGCGCAAATATTCGATGTTAAATATCAACACTCTATCTACAGGCAATCCGACAAATAATTCTATATGCCGCTCCGGCGTGGGCAGCTACTGCACGTTCAAACAGAGCAAGGCTTCAAAGTTTTCAGAGTAAAACTCTCAGATTCCTACCGAACTTGTTAGGAACACTGTCATCCATAATTCTCGAAAGATTTTACCATTAGATGCCGAATTACTAAAGATTACATTCATATTCTACGAAAAATGTGATTCTTCCACTCACGAAGTTATTAAAAGCATAGGGGAGTACGACTATCTAATCGAACAGCCGCATAAACGGCCCAGAACCATCATCATAATGTTACCATTATGATGACTACCATCATCATAATGTTAGATGGTAGTTCTTGTATATATTTTATTATTTTCAACTATTTAATCTAGATTTTGTTTCATCTTTATCATCATTTTCATCTTACTATTGACTTTGCCCGGTACCCAGGCTGCTGACTTTATCATCATTAAATTCGTATATCACGTGACAGTATACTTCCCTGTGAGTATTAAGATATATAGGTACTTTCGCCTCAGACGAAAGCAGAAACATTTCTGGGACTTGTATATATTATTTTCCATTTTTACTGTACCATAGTGTGTCAAAACTACGATAATGTGTAAAAGATATGCCATTGCGAAAAGATATGCCAAAATTATTAGTTGCTATTATTTGCTTAACCAACGAGACTTCATCTGTGGCCGATATATGGCGTTACCCCTGATCAACTTCTTCACTACTGAAGACTTTGCACTTTTATTACAAGTGCACAAGACTTTTCCATTTTTATGGAATTTTACGAACTTTTATACAGGTCCTTAGGGGATTGATAAACATGTAGTGGTAAAGGCCTTCAGGTCGAACACCACTTAACGAATGATGATCTCCGATCTCCGATCGAAGCAAAATGCCAAAGAGAAATTAATAGACCTTCTGTACAAATTGCCTCTTTGGGCTAACGCAAAAACAAGCAATTCGGCCAGCGGGTAGGAA